CTCATCAGGAGATATAAAGTAATCAGAACACCAAAAGCCACTCTCCAAATCGCCCCTTAGAAAGATCTGTACATCAAGCTACCCTATAAGGGGCATCATATCAGCTTGATAGCTAGACAAACATTGAACGCTGCTGTTAAAAAGACTTTTTATGAAGCTCATATCATAATAATTGAGAATGTGAAGCCAATGTATCCATCTGAGCCCTTAGAACATGTGAAAAATGATGTCACATCCCACTGTATTGACCATTTTGAATCTACGTGTGAACACACGTACATAGAGAGGACTCATCGATCTCTGCAAGTAAGGGCTGGCTTCAGAGCATAATCCTAAATGGCTCCAGAAACAAATAGAATCTTCAGAACCCATTAAGTGTGAGAACAGGAGACCTAGCTCTCCTATTACGAAACATATTATAGAGACAGGACATAAAATTGACGTTAACAGGTCTTTTAAACCCATATTTAAAATGTGTTTGGGGTGTATGCTGAAGTTTGTAGAAGCCCGAGCAATCAGAAAGTTTAAACTACCTTTATGTGTTCAAAAACAATTCGTCATCACATTAAGCCTTCCTTTCTTGGTCAACTTTATTCTGGTAGCAGCCAGGGCAGATGTACTATTGCCTATGTTATTTGATTTAGTGATCTTCATTGTTATTTTGACCTTCAGTGTGTCCTTTTAACTTGACCTAAGTCTATTTTCTCACCTCTTAACTGTTTATTAATTTCACACATATGTATTCCTATGACAAGTCCATGTGCGATCAGATTGTTCGAAATGTGTTGCGCAAATTCCACATTACATGATTCAGACAAATTACGTCTTCTTATTGCTTTGTCTGAATTTTATACTTTCTATAGTTTCGTTTGTAAGGGTAAGTTATATTTTTACGAGTTGATCACGGATTTATAGCAGTTAGAGAACCATTGAGAACCAGCAGGGAGTTTGGGACAGCTGTTTCATCCCAGTTTGTGAATCATAGGCAGTATGCACTAACCACCGGGGGTTCGAACCCAGGACCTACCGACTACAAGGCATCCTCGTATACCATTCAGCCAATGGGACCCAATTCAATGGCTCATGAATTCTTACTTCTACTGATTCGTGATTTAGCGCGACCTCAACCAATGTCGCTGGTGGGACATCTATTCCCACACTTGACATCTGGTTGAACCTCATTAGTCACGACTTCTCACTAGATTATTCAGTTGACGAATTCTATAGGATATTCAAGTGTTGGTTTGTAGGGATTTGATTGGTTACAGGATTTTCATCATGAGCTGACAAACACTCGCCAAAGACATTGGTTAGCGGTTGCGCTATATTGTGAATTGGAAGAAGTTAGAATTCATGGGCCATTGGATCGGGTCCCAGTGGCTTAATGGTCTACGAACTCGCCTTGTAAACCAGAAGGTCCTGGGTTCGAATCCCGGTGGGTGCATACTGATGAAGAGTCCCAAACTAGGACGAAACAGCTTTCCAGTACTTCCAGGTGGTTTTCCAATGGTTCTCTAGCTAATGTCATCTCATGATGAAATCCTGTAACGAATTCTATAGGAATTTGATGAATTCATTAAATCCTACTTTATCAACAAGGTTTGTTGTTTTTTTGAAATAAATTCGTATCGGGAAATAAATGTTTTCAAGGCACCAATATCACTTGCAGAAACGACTTTTTACATGACAAAACATCTCAAACCGTCAATAGTGTTATTCAATTCTCCCTCTCTCTCTCTATCTCTCTAT